GAGGCCATCACTCGTCAGTGGATTGACAAAGCGCAGTCCAGTTCCAGACGACGGCACCGCACACACCGTGTTGCCGTCCAGTGGTGGACCGCTAATGGGTGGGGGCCTTCATTGGTCGATTAAGAAAGGCGGAATATTGTTTAACCTCAGTGATAAAAAAAAACAGTCCGCTTTTTTTAAACCGAAAAAAGCCATATATATTTATGAGTATAGATATCCATATATAAAAAAGATGATATCAATCATAAAGCATATGGTGATACTGTACATTAAATACGTCACGATCGGGACATGTTTTGTGAGTGGCAGCGTTTGACACGCACAGAATATTTGGTGATGCATATCAGGAGATGTGCCTATTATCGATACGGTAAGTAATGCTCGCCAGACTTACCATATCGCTTCTCTGTGGGTAATGCATGAGCGCGTTTTAATTTCACACGCTCTTGCGCAACGGTATAGCGTCATAGGATGGCTTCCTTTGTGTTAATATCACAGGGGAGTTCGTTTAGGACACATTACGGTATTTTGCGTCCACACAGATCACGATCATTACCTCTGCTTTGCCCCGATAGTGGTATCTGACCCAATCCCACTCCTTACATTTTCACCGGCCAGCGCTGACCAGCGTGGTAAAAGTATTTGTTAAACAATACTACCCCATGACTGACACGGCGTGGGGGAGAGAGGCCTTCATCCGGCAGCGGATCGACAGTTTAAATTATTATCGGTAAGATATTTTTTTTCGAGTGGGTTGAGTGATGGAAATGCACGAACCCTGTGACCGCCGCTGCTGATTATACATACATGCTTATAGACGTCGTGGAGGGGCAGGAGATGTGGATTGGACACATTGTAATAGGTGAAAGCTGGATGAAGGAAGTTCTGGAAGGAATTTGGGAAAGAGGCCAAGAGGGAGGGGAATACCTGACGCTGCTTGCGAACTTAACGGAAGGGATCTGCATAGTGAAATGAAAGAGACAGCTCAAGATCGGACTGACAGAGGGAGTTTGGGCCAAAGACGTGGGGTCAGTTGCATACAATACCTGAAGTGAAAAGGTCCCTTAATTGAAATCGGAGGCGAACGCAATTTATGCACTTACGTTATTTTATGCAACTGTCCCCCTGACGTTTGGTAGCGCACTAAGGAAGACAGACGTACATACATGCATACACTCAGACAAGCACACGGATGGACAGACATCCATACATATATTTTGTGCGCACACATATGTATTATGCATGCCGTATCACCTCTGAATGCATGTGGCTGAAAATGTGAGGTTCAGTTTCTAAAGGTCATGGGTTCAATGGAACCACCAGCGGAGCGCCCCTGCTGCATAGTGGCCGACCTTGTTATTAGAGGCGAAATTGAGTTTCAGTCGCGAAAAGCAAAAATCCCCCTCACGCAGGCTGCCTTTGCAGCTGAGCACATTACAGAGACGCAACCAGCTATGGGATGAACCTTGAAATAAATATTCGCTCTGGCAGAATGTACCTGGCAAGGCTGCATTGCAATGAGATGTTTTACTCGTTATGCGACAGAGGTGGGGGAGGGGTTATGCGAGAGTTGGCATCCAATTAAAATCTCAAGACGTCTGATATTCATTAAATGCCAGCACTGTAACTGAATGTTGCGGTTTGTCGACTTACGATCAACTGGAGGGGTCACACTCTTCCTAAATGTACCCGAAAACTGACACGTAAAAACATATATATGACGACAATAATAGGGTTTTCCCCATTTTTTTCTGGCAACAAAACTGAAACCTTTTTACAAGGAATCATGTTTACATTAACCACAATTCCTGCGGTCAGAATTCAAACAAAAAAAGGGGAAAAAAACTATTATTATATTTTGCTACTGGCAGGGGCGGAGCCAGGATTTTGACTTTGGGGGGGCTGACTTCAATATTCTGAGATAGCCAGTGTTTATGTTTTCCAATGGGCGCCACAAATGTATAAAACTAATTTTATTGGATTTGAACGCGGAATTTATTAATAGGTCGGAGCCGCTGATGTGGCTAATAAGTTTGATAAGTTCTAAAGGCTGCCGCTCAAGCAGCCTGCAGGGCAGCACGAGGTGACAGCCTGCAGGGCAGCACAAGGTGGCAGCCTGCAGGGCAGCACACAAGGTGGCAGCCTGCAGGGCAGCACGAGGTGGCAGCCTGCAGGGCAGCACGAGGTGGCAGCCTGCAGGGCAGCACACAAGGTGGCAGCCTGCAGGGCAGCACAAGGTGGCAGCCTGCAGGGCAGCACAAGGTGGCAGCCTGCAGGGCAGCACAAGGTGGCAGCCTGCAGGGCAGCACAAGGTGGCAGCCTGCAGGGCAGCACAAGGTGGCAGCCTGCAGGGCAGCACAAGGTGGCAGCCTGCAGCATTTTGCAGCAGCCGGATATCCGGTTATCCCGATTACCGACTTTCCCAAAATTTCACGGGGGGGGGGGGCTGAGCCCCCCCGAGCCCCCCTGTGGCTCCGCCCCTGGTTACTGGCAAAGGAGGCCTCATGACATATATATGACGTCATATTTGCTTCCGTCTCCTTTAAAACGCAATGCAGGTTTATGTTTAAAAAAAAAACATACAAATTTTGGAAGCGGGGGGGGGGAGGACACCACCAACCCCCGTGACTTGCACGACGCGGGAGTCCGTCACAGAGACGTGGATTGACAGAGACGCGAAAATTACCATTATTATAGCACTCACTCCGCCACTCACGAACGACCATCCCTATGTTAGATACGACGGGAGAAGGCTGTCGAAGTTGCGCCAGCCGAAGTCAAGTCTGAAAAATCATCACGGAACGCGGCGGCGCCCCCCTTTTGCAGACGCACACTGTGGAGATGGAACAACTAAGTCAATTCGAGAGCAGGTGCTGGACGGATTGCTACGTCGCAGGACAGTGAGAGATAGCAACGGCTTGCGGATATCCTTCGTCCAGCAGTGGATCGAGCACGGACGATGATCCTCAGTAAATATTCGCACAAACGGCAACGCACTCGCTGTGCGAATGCACATTGGCTGGGCTTGCCACGTGCGAATGGCATCCTCGAGTCACAGGTAATGATATAGAAAATCATTGTTTGCACAGCGCTCAGTCTTAATTCAGCTGCACGTGCAGTGGGTGTGCAAAGATCACCACTGCAGGAATGGCTTACCCATGGTTGCATTGCAGCTTTAAAAAAAAACTGAATCTCGAGTGCCTGCGATATCTCTCATATGTCGTCGATGCACGTCAACTAATTACCTGCTTCTCACACAATGGCAGTGTGGACTAAATGAAAAGCTTTTTGGGAATGTAGACTGTCTAAACCTATATGTTCTGGTGTCAAGTGTTGGGGAGAGAGGGAGGGAGGGAGGGGGGTTAGGGGAGGGGGGAGGTACGGGGGGAGGGTTCAGACATCACACGCCACTTATGCTAGCCGTGACCAGTAATCAAATTCAGGTCCTTGGGTTTGTAGTTTTTTTTCTTTCTGGGCGAACCGCTGCACCACCACGCCACCGCCATGCGTTATACTCTGCAGATAACATACATGATCATTCTTTTCTTTATTTCTTTTTTGAGACATTCCATTTTACAGGGTTCACAGTTGTACAAAACGATATCCAAAAAGGAATCACAAGTGTAAACGAGTACGTGTATCACCACAACAGTCAGCATATACAATATATAAACCACTTGTCTATTTTACAAGCAATTTCCCTCTACTCACATTATTTCGTAGAATTATAATCACAAGAACAAAACAATTAAACGCTGTATCCACATGTACGGTATTATAATTGAGAACGGTGTTACGATGGTAACGCTATGCTGTGTCAAATAAAAGCGTATTCCTACATTATTGTGTACGGGCGATAGTTTAAGGCATCAAATGGTGGTTCAGCACACATATAAATTAACATTTACATCAACAATGAGTGGCGTATCAATGATACGCTGGCATTCGTTACAATTTGAGAGTGTGCACTTGATATCGCGTCATAATAGCAAGGTTGAACAAGCAACGCTTGCAAACCAACAAACTAAATCCGGCAGGTGTGTCCGTTGAATTCAGTTGTGATGTTAGTTGTTGGGTTTTTTTCCCCTGCCTGTGCAATGCCTGTGCAATTGTGAGTCAAGCACGTGTAATTGCACACTGCTCACTGAAATAAAAGGAACCACTCATCAATTGTTTTGCCACAGTAAGTGGAAGTGCGCTAAAGGAATTGCGATATGCCGTGCTATCGCTGTAGTTTGCAGTCCTTTGTCGACACATTGAATGGACGAAGGCCTCGCCACGTCGCCTTGGTCATGGGTGTTTGTGTAATCATACTTCACCGTGCTGGTCAAGTGCGCATCAGTCGAGTGAGGTGGGCATGTTAACCGTAGCCGGGAATTGAACTTAGGTGGCCAGTTTCTGAGCAGGATCACGATTCACTACGCGTGCCGCCTACGCTATAACACTCGCCGTTAAAGCATTTTCGTTTAGCTTAATTGCCAACAGAAATATCGGAATTTAAACACTTGAATAGTGATCATTACAGCCTCATTGTGGGCGTATAGTGAATGTTCTACGACCAATTGAACTCGAATTGAGTTCGTATATAATGTTGGTGACTGTTTCGTCATTGATCCATTAAGTGCTCACGCGTTAATTCGTCAACAAGATGTACACATCCATAATACAGTTTTTTTGGTTAGATCGCGTAAACATATCAATGTGTCGTTAAACCCGCCACCACCCGACACAGCCAATGTATTAAGGTTAGTCACGTAAACAGAACATGCCAATTCGTTACTAGTACAGCACACCGGTGTGTTGGAGAGACAAGCCACAACATTTACAATCTCAGTACAACGTTTCGCTAGCAATTGCAACTAGCTTCATCAGGCGATATCCAGATTTGTGGAGACGTCTTCCTGTTTCGTTCCTTAAACAGAGGGCTAGATGTGATGACAACACTTGTGTGCTCTTCTTGCGCGAAGTGTTCTGCTTACGTGACAAACTTTACTAATTGGTTGTGTCGGGTGGTGGCAGGTTTAACGACACATGTATATATTTACGCGATCTAACCCCCCCCCCAAAAAAAACCTGTATTATGGATGATATTGGTCGCGAAAGCCTACGTGTTAAAGAGGTACGCAGCTGGTACGTAACTGTGCAGTAGACAAATACAAACCATGTCGTTCATTAAAAGGTGCGCTCCGTTAAAAAAAAACAACGCAGTCGTTACAAATTGGGCTTCCTTGGTAAGCACAGTTCTCTGTGCGATCTTCACGTGATCTCCGCGCACGAATTATAGCGTGTTTGTTGCGTGCGTGACACCTTCACGGCAAGCCGAACGGTTGGTCGTCTGCTCGGGTTGAAGCCTTGACCTCGTCCACTCATGCGTCATATAGGAGGTATACTCAATGCAGGCAACACACATCATCATCATCAAAACCATCACCACCACCATAATCAAACGAAACACGAACGCACATTGTCGGATGCCGTGCCGTTGTCTCAAATCCACAGCTCCCTGGGCCGATACATTGTTTTTGCTTTTGTAGAAGAGGAAAACACCTTTAACACATCACCTTGGCTGAACTGCTAAAAATCCGGCACCGACTGAAACAATAATGTTATATGCAGCGTATACCAGTACACTACCGTCGGTGTGCGGCCTATCGTCACTCTACTGCTAGATGAAGACCTCCGCACATCGTGTCGGTCAAAGGCGTTGCTCGGCCATACTTCAGGCCGCTGGTCAGCGCCTGTTGGTGAAAGCGTTGAGGGTGAGGGTGGGTGGGCTATGATGCCCTGAACCGGTTCTGATATCACTCGCCACGGTCACTCCAAGGCGGGATTTAAACTCAGGTCGCCAGGCTCACAGCGCCGTGCGCTAACCACTGCGTAACTGCCAGGACATAGTTGACATACGTTCGATCAAATGTTACGTGTCCACACTGGGCAGAGGCGCTTTCTCGTCCGCTGTGCCGGCGAATGTCCTCCCATGCCGCTCCGCATCCCCTTCCGCCGGCACGCGTTTACGGCGGCCGTCTATGACGCTGCTGGTGGTTGTCTGCGTCCTGTCCGACGTGGCGTCGGCTCTGACTCCAGAGGCCACACATTGCTGCTGCTGCTGCTGCTGTTGTCGGCGAGGTCCATCCCGGAGAGACCGCGTGCGCATCGATGCCAACTCAGTCTCGGGCCGGATCGCGTCCGTGTGTCGCTCGCAGCGGAACACGGTGAGGAAGCCGTTGCGGTAGTTGGTGTTCATCCACCCGTAGAGAAACGGGTTGGCGAAGGTGGAGCACATGGCCACCACGTGGAACAGTGTGTAGACGAGCTTATACTCTGACAGGTCCAGCACTCGGCCGTGGATGTCGCTGGCGAGTTGGAAGGCGTTGAAGGGTAGCCAACTGACGGCGAATACCACCACAACGCTCAGCAGCATCTTGGTGGTCTTCTTGCGACGGCACTGGCGGTCCACGTTGGCCCGGCCGCTGGTTCCGGGGCTCACGTGGCTCCTCAGCTTGGCCCAGATGCGCACGTACGCGCACGTGATGACGCACAGAGGCAGCACGTACTGCAGCACCAGCATTGAGACGCTGTAGATGATCGCGTCGCGCTCCTGGCCGCCCGGCCAACTCTCGGTGCACACGGCTCTGCGGCCGAGTCCCGGGAACTCCACGTGGTGATACTCGCGGAAGACAGCCAGCGGGGACGCGAGCACCGCACCCAGACCCCAGATGGCGGCCACGATGATGAAGCTGACGGGCTGGGACAGGCGGCTCTCGAGGTGGTGCACGATGCAGCGTTGGCGGTCGAGCGCGATCGCCGTGAGCGTGAGCGTCGACACGAGCACGGCGAGCGCCTGCGAGAATGGCACCAGGTGGCAGAGCACGGAGCCGAAGCTCCACTGGTCCGTGAGTGTGTAGGCGAGCGTGAAGGGCAGGCAGAGCGCGTTCACGAACAGGTCGGCGAGCGCCAGGTTGGCGATGAAGTAGTTGGTGACGGTGCGCATGCCGCGGTAGCGCGCGATCAGGTAGATGACCAGCGAGTTGCCCACCACGCCGAGCAGGATGATGATGGAGTAGGCGGCGATGAGCACCACCTGGACGCCCAAGAGCTTGGTGCTGTCCCGCACGCCGAGCTCAGACGCGACGACGAGGCTGGGCTGCGGGCCGCTCTCGGGAGACGCGAGAGCCCAGCCGTCGGCGCCCGACGTCTCGGCCGCGTCGTCTCCCTGCTCCTCGCTCAGCGTCGTGTTGACGTCCACCTCCAGGTCCTCCGGTGCCATGGCGAAGGAGAGAGCGCGAGGTCGGATCCGCACGACCGCTTCCTCTTGCGTTCTCCTCCACCGACCTGCGCCAGACGGCTCCCCCCCCCCCCACCCCGCGTCACCTGGAGGGCTTATCTGTCGGAAAGCGGCAATGGCATTACCGTTAACGATTCACAGCGAGCCCCGATGGACGCAATTGCCGTTTAGAGAGCGATTGGTGAGCCCGCGGGGCATCGAGATAACGCGGGTTT